CATGTTAGTGACGCTGTGACTCTTCTTCTACAGAACCTGTTCAGACAGCAGCAGAAGATCCTGCAGCAGGCCCGAGTGGTCCAGAACCAGAAACTGAAGACCGTCAGAGAACTCTACGAGCAGTTTGTGAAGGTTTCAGACAATAAACCCTTTAAACACATCTCATACATATGATATATAAACATCTCATACATATGATATACAAACATCTCATACATATGATATACAAACATCTCATACATATGATATACAAACATCTCATACATATGATATACAAACGTCTCATACATATGATATATAAACATCTCATACATATGATATACAAACGTCTCATACATATGATATACAAACGTCTCATACATATGATATATAAATGTTTGTATATCATATGTATGAGATATTTATATACAAACATCTCATACATATGACATATAAACATCTCATACAGCTCTTTAAGTCCAGCTGGTGTTTGTTGAAGAAGTCAAGGTGGATCTGTTTGTTTCCTCCTCCAGAACATGGAGGACATGGAGAAGAGCCACGACTCCTTCCTGCAGGGGGCGCAGCAGGAGCTGAAGAAGGAGATGTCCACGCTGCAGAAGAAGATCCTCATGGACACGGTGAGTTAGGACTCATCCACTCAGTGACCTCACAGCTGATGTCACAGATTGATTCAATATATTGTTGACAACAAATGACATGTTGTCAACAATACAAAATGACCAAAGGTAGTATTCAGCATTTCCTTTAAAATGTATTTTATTATATCCTTTAACGTTTTGTTACTGGTTTATGTCGTTAAACTGCGAGACAGACAGACAGAAGGAGAGATATAGAGAGACAATATATTATAGTATATATATTATAGAATATATATAAATGTATATTTTGCAGTATAGTGACACGGGCTGTGATGTCAGAAGTCAGTGATGTCACATCCTGTTGTCCTCGTCTTGTTTCCACAGCAACAGCAGGAGATGGCGACGGTCCGTAAGTCTCTTCAGTCCATGCTGTTCTAACGAGCTACTTCCTGCTTCAGGGATGCATTCTGGGTGTTGGAGTTTTCATGGTTATTGTAGTTTGTTGCAAAAACCGTTTTTACAGAAGTATGTGTTCAGCTTCTTTTTTACTCGTTTAATAAGAATATTTATTGTTTGTTGAAAATTGAAGACAAAGAGTTTCAAAGTTTAAATATAAAATACAAAACTGTGACATCATCTCAAGCTTCTGAGAAATAAACTTTAGTTTATATGCAGACTTTTATTTTGAAGTCAACGTGTTTAAGAGTTCTGTTGACTATTAATATTATGTGTTGTTACAGTACAGGAATAAATAAAATGTGTTTTTATATCTTCTGAAGAGTGAAGATGTTTTTATTTTATTTTCAACATAATACAAAAATCAGACCGAAGAAAAACAGAGTGTCTGTGGGTTAAGATCCAAGTACACACCAGGTGCTGGTCATATAATTAGAATATCATCAAAAAGTTGATTTATTTCACTAATTCCATTCAAAAAGTGAAACTTGTTTATTATATTCATTCATTACACACAGACTGATATATTTCAAATGTTTATTTCTTTTAATTTTGATGATTATAACTGACAACTAAGGAAAATCCCAAATTCAGTATCTCAGAAAATTAGAATATCGTGAAAAGGTTCAATATTGAAGAGACCCGGTGCCACACTCTAATCAGCTGATTAACTCTAAACGCCTGCAAAGGCCTTTAAATGGTCTCTCAGTCTAGTTCTGTAGGCTACACAATCATGGGGAAGACTGCTGACTTGACAGTTGTCCAAAAGACGACCATTGACACCTTGCACAAGGAGGGCAAGACACAAAAGGTCATTGCAAGAGAGGCTGGCTGTTCACAGAGCTCTGTGTCCAAGCACATTAATAGAGAGGCGAAGGGAAGGAAAAGATGTGGTTGAAAAAAGTGTACAAGCAATAGTGATAACCGCACCCTGGAGAGGATTGTGAAACAAAACCGATTCAAAAATGTGGGGAGATTCAGGAAGAGTGGACTGCAGCTGGAGTCAGTGCTTCAAGAACCACTACGCACAGACGTATGCAAGACATGGGTTTCAGCTGTCGCATTCCTTGTGTCAAGCCACTCTTGAACAACAGACAGCGTCAGAAGCGTCTCGCCTGGGCTAAAGACAAAAAGGACTGGACTGCTGCTGAGTGGTCCACAGTTATGTTCTCTGATGAAAGTAAATTTTGCATTTCCTTTGGAAATCAGGGTCCCAGAGTCTGGAGGAAGAGAGGAGAGACACACAATCCACGTTGCTTGAGGTCCAGTGTAAAGTTTCCACAGTCAGTGATGGTTTGGGGTGCCATGTCATCTGCTGGTGTTGGTCCAATGTGTTTTCTGAGGTCCAAGGTCAACGCAGCCGTATACCAGGAAGTTTTAGAGCACTTCATGCTTCCTGCTGCTGACCAACTTTATGGAGATGCAGATTTCATTTTCCAACAGGACTTGGCACCTGCACACAGTGCCAAAGCAACCAGTACCTGGTTTAAGGACCATGGTATCCCTGTTCTTAATTGGCCAGCAAACTCGCCTGACCTTAACCCCATAGAACATCTATGGGGTATTGTGAAGAGGATGATGCAAAATGCCAGACCCAACAATGCAGAAGAGCTGAAGGCCACTATCAGAGCAACCTGGGCTCTCATAACACCTGAGCAGTGCCACAGACTGATCGACTCCATGCCACACCGCATTGCTGCAGTAATTCAGGCAAAAGGAGCCCCAACTAAGTATTGAGTGCTTACATGCTCATACTTTTCATGTTCATACTTTTCAGTTGGCCAAGATTTCTAAAAATCCTTTCATTGTATTGGTCTTAAGTAATATTCAAATTTTCTGAGATACTGAATTTGGGATTTTCCTTAGTTGTCAGTTATAATCATCAAAATTAAAAGAAATAAACATTTGAAATATATCAGTCTGTGTGTAATTATGAATATAATAGACAAGTTTCACTTTTTGAATGGAATTAGTGAAATAAATTAACTATTTATTGATATTCTAATTATATACCAGCACCTGTATAATATGGTCCAAGACGTGGTATGTAAGCAGCGGACTTACTGTGCGTAACGGCTGCGACTGAGCGCACGATCGAGTATGAGTGTAGCTCAGTTACACAAGGTTATACGCTGATTGACGGCTTATAGAAGAGGAAGATAAGGTTTGTACTTTAAGTACTAGCGTTTACTGAAGCTACTAGCTCCATGGTAACATCCGCTAGCACATTGTTGGGTCTGTAATGTGTCTTTTTCCATCGAAATGCTGCAAGATCCGACTTGCAGCGGTTATGGCGACTTTGGACAGTGTGTGTTTGGGCTCCTTTTGTGAAAACTCCATAAGAAATGAAAGAAAATCGATGATTTCTTTGCAAAGATGAGGGTTTTGGGCATGCTGGGATACCAAACACGGCCATGTTTTGTGACGTAGTTTGCGCAAGCAAGCCGTAGGAACGGAACGGAAGGAGAGGGGATCGAGGACGCCGGCGTCCTCGCGGAGTTGAACATGCAAAACCCTTGTCAAATAAATGAGATGATACAATGTGATGATCACAAAGACATTTATTTATCATGTGTATGTAAACCTGCATACACAACAAGAAGCCCAACAGGCTTTCCCACGAGCGTTGGATGTTTCATCGCTTGGTGTCGCTTTATTTTTTAAGGCTTCAGTGCTTCGTTTGATAGCATTAGCCCACATTCCACACACTGAAAGTGTTAAGAAAGTCAGGATTGCACACATTTAGACTTTTGGGGGGGGGTATGGCACCACTGTCGTCTTCATTTTTTCTAGTGGTAGTGGTTAAATCGTGTAATGTTTATGATTCATTAAATGATGTAATACTGCTGCCCTCTAGTGGTTAAATCGTGTAATGGTTATGATTCATTAAATGATTTAA